TCAGCCACATCTTCAGTTCATAGACAACTTTCAGACTAATCAATATCGTATACAGGGCTTGAGAAAATGACACAGCTAGACCTACCTGTTCACTTCTCCGAACATCAGACAACTGGCACCTTCACAAAAACCGTTCTTTGCACTTGTGAAGCAGCAAGCGACAAAGCAAAGGGCACAGAGAGAAGCTGATGGGGGATAACGTCAACAAAATCCTGTCAGTTTATGGTCAAGAAAAACATATGAAAACCAGAAAAACATGCAAGGAAATGAAGAGTTCTTACCCTCTATAACCACTGATGTGAAAGAAATGATGAGCGTTCCTGACACAAAGAATGGGCGAATTCCAATCCTGGGAACATCTGGAGAGGTTCTTGCAAGAAGCGATGGGGTTTTCTTTTCTGAGACAACGCTGGTTATGCCAAATAGAAAGTTATGCTAAGCAAAGACAGTGCTTAAGCAGCTGAGGATGAACCAGAGGCAGAAAGAATCCCCAAACATGAAGAAAACTGAACTTTCCTAAAGATTACTTGAAAATAGCAGTAAGTGAAGAGTGCACCACTGAATTAACTGTTGGGTAGGAGGAAAATATTAAAGAGGACCACTCACAACAAGTTTGTGTGAACATGAGAGCAACTAAGGCAATTAATGAGGTTTTTTATTAGTTACACATACAGAAATGTGACCACCATCTACTCCTCATAAATGTGTTTTTCCTCACAGAAAAAAACCCTGTGATATGCCCTTCAGAGTCTTCATCTCTCAGAGTCTTTCTCGAGAGCTTGAGGATGACCGAAGTAGAGGAGACTGAGATGCAGTACAACTGAATAGCTGAACTATTTTACTGCTATCTTTATTTTGTCCTACATTTCTGGAATAACTTCTCCAGAAATAATGTCTCCTCCATGATGGTCATGATGATTTTAGGATAGCCATTTACCTGGATTGTACAATTCATTAGTAGCTACAATTAAAACAAATACAAATTAAATTTCTTCTTACTATTTGGAAAGCCAAAATATATCATTATTGTTGCTGCAGACATTATGAACTCTTTTATCTGTTTATATATTTGTTTACATTTTTTTTCTGCTGAAATTTGCTTGGGTTTTGAAATAACAGTTGGCCTAATACATTACACAAGGCTTCCTTTCTGAATTGTCATACTGGTTTAGACAGAGTTACAGGAAGACTACAAAGAAAGGAAGAAATTAACCATAGAGAAGATATATTAATGAGCTTTAACTCCAGAGGGGAAAAATGTGAAGAAGAAAGAGCAATGCTAGATAACAGTGAACAGGTATCAGTTCTGACAGTAGGAAAAGAAGCTTTTTTTTGTCCTGATAATAAATGAAAAATAGAAATAGCTGAGATTTTAGAGGTGCTAGAGCAAAGAAAAACCCTTTGAAAAGTTAAATGTTTAAACCACAACATCTGATGCAGGTGTTTCAGAACTTTTCAATAAGAAGTCTGGGAATTTGTATCATGGTTTTCTTTTAATTCTATTGTGAAATCTCTGAGGAGTGGCCTTACTCAAAAGACAGCTTGCCATCTTCCTTGTACTTCTGGGCTACTGCAAGGGGTGGAGTGACTGCTGTGAGCATTTGGCCAGCACGGCTGTCTAATCCTCACTGACCTGCTCTCTACTGCCCATGGACAACATCACTGTCCAGAATGAGCACAGTACAGTCCAAAGGAAGCCTCACACATGCTCCTGGATCATTCCTCCCCTAGCAGCCCAAGCCTGACAAATCCCATCCCACATGGCTTAAAAAGACACCTCTCCTTAGTTTGACTCTTCATCCCTCACCTGTTTTTACTCTCTTCTCTAGATGTTGTATGGAGAAAGAACTTTGTGTATATTTGTGTGTGTGAGGCTGAGTCTGATTATCCTTTTGGGAGGTGTGAGAGAATTTTTTTCACTGCTTTGTTTTGCTGCCTCAGGTAGGCACAGTTAAAGTGGTTGGTGTAGGTTGTAGACATTCAATATTCAGAATTCTGTAGTAATGTCCAGGCTGTAGCTGCACACGTGTGATAACCAATGCAACAAAGTCCATCCATGAAAAAGAGCTGATGCCTAAAGCAATCTCAGACTATGTTACTTTTGGTGGTCAGCTCTTCTTTTCAAGGCAAAGAAGGGTGAATTTAAAGTTTTCAACATGTGATGAAGAAAAATTTGCTCCATCTTCTGGACAGTAAAGTGGGGAAATGGCTGGAAATTAATGCACTAGAATTTCAGGTAACTGTTTAGACCCTAACTCTCTGTTCCACCTCATACAGCACTGTCAGAGAAGTTCCTGCTATTTCACACAAGTAATAGTTAAAAGTTTTTGTTTGTTTGTTTGTTGGGTTTTTGTTTGGTTTTGTTTGGTTTTTGTTTTTGTTTTGGGGTTTTTGTTTGTTTGTTTGTTTTTTAATATTACTAAGAAATTCAGCTACAAAATGCAGCCAGGAAAAAAGTGTGAAAAATTCTGCGCCTAGCAAAGTCTGCTTGCCATATGAAAATTAATAACACCAATATTGCTGACTTTAATAAAACCTGAATTTCCAGATCACATTGTATCATTTCTTATGAAATATGCAGTATATAGGGAAACAAAAAAAATACAGGAAACGCTGTACACAGGACTGCTAGAATTGAGAAGAGCTTTAAAAAGAGACAAAGTTCTAAAGAGTACACATTTTAAACCTCAATAGGTCTCCTGACTGTTAAATATGCAGCGTGTTTTGTGTACTATAAGCTTTAAAAAAAAAAAAAATAACTACAGTTTTGAGACATTGCTAACACAGCATCCATTCTTTTTAGACAAGGACAATTATTTTCCCTCTGCTACCCAGCTGCAGAAATAATGGTGGAATTCTTATACTCAAGTGCTTCTTTTAGGCATAAGTTGTGTAAGATAGTATGCCTTATTGTGGGAGGATTTTTTTATTTTTTTTTTACATCTCTCTTTCACGGTTCTCTTTTGCAGATTGACATGTTCCAACCTATATATGCAACAAGCAATTTCTTAGTGTTTAAAGGATCAGCACAGGTGAGTTATATAACCTCTGCTTTTTCTCTTCAGTCATTTGGAGCTGATAGGCGACAAGGTTTTTCAGTTATTTAGCCAACTGGGAAATAGATATGTGGCTTTATGTGTTTTTTATGACATCAAGTCCCTAACGCAATGAGTGAATAGAATGAAAAATGCATGACTTTCTCTCCCCTGCAAATGTAATGCTTTTCCATGGTTATAATGAATGCTATTTGAATGTATGCTGTGCTTTTATCAGTAGCACTGCAAGACTTCTCAGCATGAATTTGAAAATAGTTGCGTTTAATGATTTTCATCATAAACTTTATTTTCAGGAACATTTGACAACTGATTCTTATAAGAAGTGATTTCCTAATCTTTAGCTCACTCTGCTAATCATTAAGTATTTGCTTTCCTCTCACTTCAATAACTCCGTGCAAAAAGGGCAAGATTACAGAACGAGAAGTTCTTACCCAGTGCATAAACTACCATGAAACAACGTGACCACAGAATATGTTATGCTCTTCCAAGTTCAGAGCTTAGTATTGTATGTTCCCAAGTGGTAGTTTTTACATCCTTTATTCTTTAAAATGCTGATCTTGTTATTTGCTGGATCCAGACAAACAATATTATAGACGGTATGGTAAATGGGCATTCCCCACTCTCACATTTCTGCCATGTGGGCCCTCTGCAAAAGGATGTTATCGACATGCAGTGGGGTGTTTCCAATCAGCTATGAAAATGATGTTTGCCTTACAGAGCGTGACTGGGCAGCAGGGGCACAGGTCCCTTCTTGCTGTATCTGGGCATGCTGGATCAGGAAGAACATCTTCAAAGTGGGAGGAGGGTTCATTACGCTCACTTCAGGAGACATCTGGAGTGCGGGGAGGGACATGAAAGGCCAAGGGCTGAGCAAGCACAGAGCTCGTTGAACAGGGACAGAATAGAGCCTTCTAAGGGAACAGCAAACTCTCCTGCAGCAGAGACCAAATGTGCCAGCTTTGAGCATGATGTTCTTGGGGATCCAGAAACACAAGCGTGTTGTGTGATACATACTTGGGAATTTTGACCTGGATTTGTCTTTAGTTTGTTTTTCTCTGCAGATTTTTTTTAGTATTGCTTAGAGACTATGCAGGGCCATCAGAGAGTTCTGCAGACTCCTATTAAGTGCTTACCTGCCCTCTGCTTTTCTGTTGAGAGGGTCAGTCAAAAATCTGAGACAAAGAACATACAAATATTCATGCAAGAACTAATTCCTCCCATGTGTCTATAGTGACCTCTTGCATCTTAGACATCTAGCACAGGCTTTGAAGTGCAAGTAAAATTTGAATTTACTGACCCTAATAGCTTTGTCTGAAGTTTTTTTCATCTGCAGGGTCAACTCTGGGAAACATGTCTATCATGTATTTTGATATTTAAAGGTTACATTATACAGACTTTTCTCCACATGTATAGACTTTATTTATTATGTATTTTTTTCCTCATATAGCTGGATGCCTCTAAAAACCCTACTGTGTGGATAAAACTGAATAAAAAACACAAACCCCAGAAATTTTTAGAAGTTTTTCACATTCATCAGACATGCAGATATACAAACTTTTCTGAACAATAAATCTGAATAATTTGTTTCATGATACTCTTCCTGCTGTCATCCATGACTGACTGTAGAGCCCAAAGTAATTTATTTTCCATGTTTTAAATACCAATTTTTTTATGTTAGCCTCGGATATCCTTTTTTTTTTCCCCATGCCTTTTTGAAATTTTACCATAATACTCTGTAGGAAGTGTGCCTTATCCTTACACATTTGTTGTTGGGTTAGGTTAGATTTTCCTGAAGTGGGCATCAGAAATGTAAATTTTTCAGCTTTGGCGGTCCAGAAAAATTTCCTGTCACAATGTCACAATTGCTGCACCAATATGTGACTTCACGTGTCATAACAACTGCATCTCTCCTACACTCTCTTAAAAAAATCGTTTGTGTCTTACCTTGTTCAGGTGGAACGTCTTGGTCAGCTTCCTTGAAAGGTGGTTCTGCTATATCAGTCAGTTCTGCCTTCTCCTCATCTTCACTATCCTCATCTCTGGCTTGCAGACTAGGTGGGGTAAAGCTACCCATGGTATAAGTTGCCATTGTGGTAGCCTGCTCCACTGGAGACTCATAGCCATCGGTGATTAAGTCACTGCTAGCAGAATCATCTGCTGGAGGAGGCAAATAGGAATCCTCTGATTTTGGAGGACTGCTAGTGCTCCCCAGAGCACTGAAAGGCACTGTGAAACTTTGGAGGTCAGTAACTCTGTGTGGAGGAGATCTGTCCGGGAATGGTTCTCTGGAGGGTTTGGTAGGGAACTCAGGTTCAGATGTAATAAAATTACTGAATTCTTCAGAGATGCTGATCTCTTCACTTAGATCAGGGCTTTCAGTTGTAAGTTCATCAACCATGGTGTCTCCTGTTTGGTCCACTGTTGCTGGGCTGGGGTAACCTAGTGGGAGTTCCACACTCACAGATTCCTCCTGAAAAGTTTTTAAAAAGCAGTTTTCATTATTATGTTTAAGTTTTATTCCTATAAAGGCCAGTAATCTTTAGCCACATGAACTTGCAAACAGGTAAGTCAACATAGAGTCATACACTGGTTTGGGTTGGAAGGGACCTTAAAGATCCTCTAGTTCCAACCCCTGTGCCATGGGAAGGGGCACCCTCCACTAGACTGTGTTCAGTGCCGTGTCCAGCCCGGCCTTGAACACTGCCTGGACTGGGGCATTCACAACTTCTCTGGGCAACCTCTTCCAGTGCCTCACCACCCTCAAAGTAAAGATTTTCTTCCATATATCTAACCTGAATTTCCCATCTTTCAGTTTTAACCCATTACTCCTTGTCCTATCGTTACAGTTCCTGATGAAAAGTCCCTCTTCAACTTTCTTGTAGGCCCCCTTCAGACAATGGAAGGCTGCTATGAAGTCATGGGATGTATAAAATGTTTGGCATGTGCATGTGATCCTAATCACATTGCCTGTAATTTTAAAAATGGCCAAAGAAAGATGGCCTTCATTATCCCTGTCAATTGCTCCATACTTCTGAACCAGTAAGACATTGTTTACTTTGTAATTAAAACTGGAAGAGGTAATCAGGCAGCAATATTAACCTATAAATGCTCTAAAGTGCAACTTCCTTTGTTGCAGTATAACTACAAAACATTCATCCTCACAGCAAGTACAAAAAGCAGATATGTTAGCATAAGAAATGTTTTTCTTTTGATATTTATGTCTATCTTAACACTGTTTAATTTTATTTCCCATGGAAAAGTAAATAAATATGACAACCAGTATTAACCTACCAAATCAGGGCCTGCCAGAGGAATAGTGACCATGCCTTGGATATCATTATCAAAATCACTAGGTGGTATAATAGATTCTGCAAAAAAAACCCACAAAAAAACCCAAAAAACAAACAAACATTAGAGAGGGAGGGAGAGAAAACAATATTTCAAGATCAGCATGCTGAGAATTGATCAAAACACATAAGGTCTGTAAAAAGCAGTAATAAATTGTTCTCCATCAAAAAATTACTTTTTAAAATCCATGTTAAGAAGAGGCAGCCATCAATGTCCATTCACCTTGACAATTATGAGGAAAGTCAGAATTTTATATGCAGTGTTCTTTCTATGCTTTATTTAGCATAAATGGGATGGGTCTGCAGAGAGCTGAAACATGGAGGAATGCTTAAAATCAGCTGAAGTACAAACCCTTCAGTTAAATCTGCATGGATTATGATGACTCATTACATTGCATTGTTCATTAAGCCTAAATTTACTTCAGTTTTACCCAGAGCCCATACCATCGTTAATGTCAGTGTTTTGGCTTTAGTGCCCTGTTGGTCCCTTCACCCTCCCCAGAGGAGCTCTTTAAAAGTAATTGCACAAGAGCTGTTTTTCTAAAATTGATTATTAAAAATAACTACTGGGAAAAAGTTGATTAAAATATGTATTATTGAAGTGTTCTAGATGTATTTTTTGTTGGGACTTTGAATCTACATTTAAATATGACATTTTATTCTTACAGAAAGTATTAGTTCATCTGAATAATTTTTTTTGGCAAGAAAATGCTGCTGTTTGCAAATTAAATACTATAGCTAAATTTTGTATGTGGTTTAATATTGTTTTGGTAAATATACATATGAAAAAATATTTTAAATAATTTCTCACCTTTTAACCCACTTCCTCCAAAACGAAGGATATGCTAGCTTTGCAAAAATAATTGATGGACTAGAAGGGGACATTTATTAGTTGGATTACTGAACAGGGTGAAGACTTTCAACCCTCTGCTGGAGGTCTGCACACCCAGCTTGTTGTCTATACTCCCTCTGTGCTTCAGACTGAAATACACCTTTACTGATTTTTATCTTGGGAACAAATGCTCTTTAAGTTGTCCGTCTCTCTGACTTCAAGGAGAGCTTAGATGGCTTGCTTACAATCAAGACAGAGCTTTCAGAAAACCTAATTTTTAGGTTGGAGGAAGCCCTCACTTTTTGTCTTTCTAACGAGAGGAGACCATCCATACTGGGAAGTTAAAATTATAGAGTGAATATTCATAGTATTTCTTTTATTTTTCAGCTCTTAATTATCCTAGTGGGCAAAATATCCAGATTTTCTAAACAAAAAAAAGAAGAAAATAGATCCTCATATATATTCTCTGTATAATTACAGAGGCACACTTTGCTATAAAACTTAACTTACATCTCTGCATCCTTTGGATGCTATGCAACACTAAAGAGAATGAGCTATATCAAATGAAAAAACCCTTTAAGCACAGCAAAATACACCTTACTGGAATTGCATCAGTTTGGAAAGGCAAGGTTCAGACTTGTGCCTGGCACCTGCCTGCCTACTAACCATCAGTAAACTGAAGTGTTCCGAGGTCCAGTGGCAGGGAGTGGTCTTCATGGAGTGCAGTGGCAACCAGTTGCTGCAGGTCTGTTACTGTGAGTTTAGTTCCTGATATCTCCCTCTCTTCAACTGGAGAAACTGGAGTTTTTTCACTTTCAACCTTATTAGATCCAATAGTTGAGATGTCATCTGCTGTGCTTTTGATTTCTGAGCCATCTCTCTCAAAGTTCACCACGTACCGTGCTATAGTGCTGCTCGATCTGCAAGGGGAAAAGGTAAAAATGCCCAATGCAGCAAAATCAGTCACTGACTGGGAACCAATTTTACAAACAATCAAATGTGCAACCATAGCGTGTTATCTTCTTAAAAGCAATGCAGATTTACTTCTTTCTAATGAGACTGTCACCTTCAAATTACTTTTGCTATGGCTTTTTTCTACTATTCATAATTTTAAATAAAAATTCAAATTACAAAGAAAACTGTAAAAATATTCTGATATAATCCAGTTTAATTTCACTACTGATCAGTCATTGACTACTGATTCAAACAGCCATGAATGCATGCTGGGTTACTAAAAGCCATAATTGTGCATTATGCAAGATCCTCCAAAAAGGGATTACACAGTCCATAAAACTGCAAATAAACAAAAATCTTATCCACAACTGAGGCAATTTTTTGCTCTTTTTCAAAGAAGAGTAAAAAAATTAGTTAATGTGGCAAGCAAATCACTTTTCACAATGGGTCTTAGCTTTTTCCAACTCCAAATGAGATGTTCAATGGAAACCTCAAATGTTCACCATTATTAATACATCACTTTTGACAAATGTTAAATTCACCTAATTAAAATGAGAAATAATGAGTACATTGTAAACATTTCTATACTATGTTGCTTTTTACAATATCAAATAACTGTAGAGAGAGGAATTTCACTTTATCTAGTATGTACTATATATTTAAATTTATATGACATTGCAAGAATTCAGGAAAAACATTAGACAATTCTTTCTTTTAAAGTATGAGTAAAAGAGAAATTTTGGGAACTGCTAGACAAATTATTCCCTGGGAGCACTTTTAAGCAGCAACAACAATAGACTGCATCTGTTTGTATTACTAGTCAAAAACTCTCTGCATTTTATCAAGCTAGTAACTGGTCTCTGCTTTTCTATATGGCTTGATAATGGAGATAACAAATCAAATTCTACATACTTATTGAAAATAATGTGTATATGGGAATACAGCTAGGAAACAGCAGATCAAAAATGAAAATTGGAATATAAAGTTTCCCTATTTATTCTTCACTTTCAGTATATGACTGATAAAATTCTTTAGTCATCTGAATGTGAATTTTCATAGATCAAACATTTTCTTTCCTTCAGAGAGATCTCCACAAAATTTGATTACATGAACCTTTCAGATAAAAGTAAAAGCTTTCCCTGATGCTTCATATCACAGTTTTTGTACTTAGCCAGAACACAACCAATTCACTTTGCCACATCAAGATAAAGGACATTTACTGATGTATCTATGTATATCATAAAATGATTACTAATCAGAATTAATAATTAGTCAATAAAATTATTACTCTTAATTAAGCATTACAGAAAGATTACCCATCTTTCTCCTTCTTCTGTCTTCATTTCATCACAGAAAAATGGATTGCAAAAGAAAGAAAAACAAAGATTCATATATACTGGTAAATCATTCAGTCAAACACATCATAACCATCTTTTGACAATTTATCTGGTATGTGCCATCTATAATTTTTATCTCCATGTGAAAATGACAGTCTACTCTTCATCAGTTCACTTTTTCCCTTCCAAACAATGGAAATCACCATATTTTGTGCGGGGAGAGAGGAATTTTACGTTACCATGATAGTTTGAAATAGAAGCTTTCCTATTTCCCACCCCAAATGGTGCACATTGAGCACTGTCTGTGCTAATCTCTGTCTTTATGGTGGCAATGATCACTGTTCAGTGTGGCAGTGGTAGCAGCAATTGCTGTTACCATACACGGTGCCTACTGAGACTCTAGGCACAGGGGCAACTTGAGCTATTAATTACCTCTGGAAGACATGCCTATGTTGACCTTCTGGATATAATGCCCTGTTATTTTCCCTAATGAATTCTCTAGGATATTTATAATGTTGTTGTGTGGGAAATGTTGCTAATATATGTACTAATATGGCTAAGGGAGAATGGACAGCAACACCGGTCTTTGCTGATCTGTACCTCTCAGGAGTTAACTAAATTACTAGATGGTGGGAATCAGTCCTGATCCTGATCTTCCATACTGATGAATGTACTTTCATATCAGATCTGAAGTTCAAGATACTAAACTGAAATGGATCCCAGATCTGGAGTCATAACTGAAAGGGATTAGTTATTGCAAGTTATTGCAAGTAACTATGAGATGCTACTGTAGACTTCTCTGCTTTTTCTGTAGCAGCTCTTTTTTTTGTTGATTTTAATATAAAAGTATAAGCAACTAATTTTCAGTCTATTTTGGTCTTTGCTCTCCTTTTCACCAGCAGTTTTGCAGAGAAAAATGCTAGGAAGAAGGATGCTCTAGTCAAAAATTACATTGCAATATGAGTGTTCTTTGACATGTATTAAATACTATTAGAAGGACTGAATATTTTTGATGCTGAGCTGTAAGCCCACATAAATTTATGTCTTTTTTCCCTGCCCTTAATTCCTTTTCAATTTTGTATAGTTTCTTACTATTAGTTATTTTTCATTTAATTCTTTACACGATGTGCTCTCATCCATAGAAGCATAACCTATTTTTTTATCTCCCACTCCCCTGTAGATTCTCTACTGAAAAAGTACATAAGAGCTTGTATTAGTAATAAACATACAAGGAAGCTATAACTAAAAGAAATCGAAAGATAGAACTCAAATTTACTGAAAAAATTAACAGGTTTAAATTGTTTGAAACACCTGGAAGGCAAGAACTGGAAAAGTTTTATATGTGTTCACATGTAGCCTCGTGAAACCCTCTCTTCACTGTGATCAATGAACGGCACAGGATCCCCACACAAAAAAGTAGTCACTTAAATAATCGTACTGCTAACTCTCTGCATGTAGTAATTTTAAAAAGTCTTTAATACAGGGTTGCTTGCAAACAATTAAAAGAATTTATTGTATCCTTCGCCCCTCAGGGAAACTACTTCTACTTAGTAATTCAAAACCTTATAGTCTCACTTGGAACGTGTTAGCACTTCTCTCCATATTGTCTCTATAATATTTCCATAAAACTGTATTCGACTTACAGCAACATGCCCCCCCTCCTCCTCCACCCCCACACTAGTCCACAGGTCTCTTCATCTTGAAGGATAAGAAGGAATAGGAGAACCCTAGCAGCCAACAGACAAGAGAGCCCCGTTTTCCTACTTACTTAAATCCTAATACGCGGATTTCTTTGAATCCTGGTAGTTTCTCAAATATTCTTTTCATCTATATAAAACCATAAAAAATTAATATAGTGTAATATCTGTAACTAAAAGGCAAGCACAGGTTGACTACCTAGACAATATTTTTTTCTTTTTGAGAAAAAGCTTTACGAAACAGTCTCAACTGCCCTCTTTGTGGTATCGTAATTGCTCAGCTTACAATGTTCAGTTCGTATATACTGGTTGTATTACCTACCAACAGGCAAAATGAAGCACAAAATATAGCACTTTTTTAGTAATTATGTAAATCAGTGATAATCTAGATCATAAGAGAGCAAGTCAAACAACATGATTGAAGTGGTTTTTCAGCAGTTTTGGTTCATGAATTATTTTGTGATTCAAGTCAACTGTAAATTGTTAATTACTTAGAAATATTCACCAAATGCAGATAGGTTTAGATTATTTGACAAATCATTTATAACTTAAACAGTTTTAACTGTCTTGTACAGATAGAATAACAACATAATTTGAATTCTAATGTTAACAATTGTATGATTAAGTGGTTTTGAATTGAAGATGCATTTTGTAGTTAGTAAACAAAGTCGGCAGGCACTTTCTGTTCGAGGGTAATACTGGAAATCTACAGAGAAACCATTTTTTATCAGCTCTGCCAGCACATCCTTCATCATTTTTCTATGCATATCTGGAACTGAACCAGCAAACAAAATAGCTTGCACTAAGGAATGTTCATAAAACTGACAAGAAGCTTTAGTTAATTTTACTAAGAAAACGTTTTGGGAACCTCCAGTCATTATCTGCTATCTGCTGCTAAACTGATATCTGAACATTCAGTTAATATTATTAATTATATGAAAACACAATACATGTTCCAATTCTTACAGAAACTATGGCAATGCACAACAAAATGAGTGCAAGTCCTTTGAAGCATAGTTCAGACAACAGTAACTAATTACTTTACACATTTATATTATATTTCTGATTAGGTTTATTGCAGAAATTAAATTATGACAAAGTAGTGTCCATGAATTCTTGATTAAACCTGAATGATATTCCTATTGTGTTCATTAGTTATCTGAGGCTCTACTTCTGTCAAAGCATTTGGCTTGTTAGCTAGGTGGCTGAACAGATAGCCTGAACAAGGGGAAAAACTGCAGGTCTTGAGATGATAGGAACTATCTGTTCAAAGTGAGGGCAGTAGATTCTAATTCTATTTCATGGTGAGGGTAGTTTCAGAGTATGAACCTCAGCCAACGGTATAAAGTCAACATTTTTGCATTCACTCAGCCTCCTTACCTGTTGCTGAAATTTGGCAGCTAGTTGTTGGTACTCTGGGGAGTTGGGATCACCAAGTTCAGGTGTGTACTCCTGATCAGTGAGAGTTACACTGAATTCAACCATTTGCTCCACAGGGAGTTCAGGGACTGCATTTGTTCCCAGCTCCTGGAAAAGAAGAAGAAATGAAAAAAAAGTGAAGAAATAACCTAAGTGATTTTTTTCCCAGAGTGCTGGTATTTAATAGGCAGGTTAAGTTCCCTTTTAAGCCCATCGCCAAAATAACTTTCTGAACTGTATTCTACAAAAGATGACAGTTCCTATACATATTTGTTGGCTTAATTCTTCTCTCTTTGCAAACAAGTTTCTACTATTGTAACTTGAGCATTGCCTTTGATATGCATAAATGAAGGTGAAGAAAATCAAGCCATTTCTTGCACAGAGACTGTTTCCAAGTCTTACTTCCATCATTGTAAAGTCATACAGCTTTACTTGCCACTTTGGAGGACCGTGTGTGACATCAAGGAGAGTGACAAGAACATTCTACAAGCTAGCTGGGATCTCACATTCAGAAAACCCATGGCCAGTCAGAGCAGTGCCAGACTCTCTGTTACTGTTTCAGAAGTTTGCATTTGGGTGTTCTGATAATAAAGTAGAATTAGCCTTGCCTGTGATGCACCTTTCTTGTGCAGTTGACTTTACTGCTGCTAAAAGTACTCATTTTGTTTGCTGTTTCCCAACAGTATTTGTAGCTTTTCCTTAAATTTTAATTCATTTGTAGGCTATGATGTGCTGCCCACAAGGGTCAAAGCCACTATGGGTGCATTGAGAAAGATTTCCTAATTCACCCTAAATATGAAGTTACTAAAGTAAAGTGACATTTGCTAATTTCAAGATCAGAAGTTATTTCTTGTTCCTTATTCATAAGTAGAGCTGAGCTTCAAATTTCAAGTCTTGGAATGTAAGTGCCTTAGGAGGTGATGCAGAGAGGTCACTCAGGAAACTCCTGCCTTCTACCAAGCTCTAAGTCCTTCTTCACAAATCTTATTACTAATGTTAACGCATATCATTGCTGCATTTCACTGCCAGTGTATTTTATTACACTTTTTTTTTTCCTGAATAAAATCTTTCAGGGTTCTAAAGAAAGCCTGTTAAAAATACAAAGATCTCAGAACAAAAACCCAAATTATTCTTTACTGCATGTACTGCATATACATTGCATGTTCATACTTATTTGCAATACATAGATATTCTGTATTCTTTAAACATGCTTTTATCTTTTTTATTTGTTCAAGGATAATTCTACTCTCAGCCAGACTTCTTGCACCTTGGAGAAAATATAAACAAATAGAACAAGATCAGGAAGAAACTGGCCCAAAAGAGCAGCAAGCTCATTAGCCTGAATCTCACAGCGAGGTGAAGTTTCCACTTCTGCTGCCAGGTAAGTTGGCATAAGGCTCCTAGAGACATCTGTCCCATACATAACACCTAGGCTTTAATACCTTCCAAAAATAAGCAGAACAAGAAATAAGTGTGATTGCAGTATCAGGGGATAAGAGAGAAAGTAAAATGTTAATAATAGAATCACAGAATGAGTGAAACGAGAGAGCACTTTCTGCACCCACTGATTCTGCAAAACTCAGCTCTGCTATATCATTCCTTAGGATACCTCAGTTTTAGGGGAATGTATGTTTTGTGTTGTGTATAAAAATATGGTTCATCAGTTAGAGAAAGAGGATTCTCTAATGTTCTATCATATAAATGGAAAATTCAGGAATATGCACTTTCTACATAGCTGCCCTATAACTTTTGAGGAGCCAACCTTTAGGGAGCTGGTGATAGAGGACGGCCAAGAAAGAATAAGGAGATCTGTAACAAGGAGGAACTGGTTAATGACCATCATCTGGTACACCTCAAACATCACAAATAAGTGATTTTAAACCCACTTTTTCCTCATATTCTATTTGCTCTTTCACTGTAAGAGCTGAGATATAGGTAGGTAGGTAATAGAAAGTTCAGAATATTTAAAGATTATTTTGCTTTCTTACATTATAAGGATGTAATAACTTGGGGCAGTAAAACCAGCATTCAGTTGGGATCAAGCCAGTGCAATTCCTGTGCTGGAGCTGAGGAGCTTACATAGATGGGATGGGGAACAGTGGCAATTTGCCAGGGGTGTGATAGTAAGGCCTCACCCAGAATTCCTGCCCCCAAATGAGCCTCTTCCTACAGCCAGTATGCACAAAACTCAAAAAGAACACCCCCAAAACCCCACAGAGGTTTTTCAATTAGCTGTTCTAGGGGCAAACTTCTTACAAATTGGAAAAACTCTCAGAGCAAAGCAGAGGGGAAATGTAAGAGCTGAGTCTCCTCCCAGGTGATGCCGAGAGAGAATGAGAGAGAGAAAGAGAGAAAGAGAGAAGAGGAAGAGAAGAAAGAGAGAGAGAGATTCCAAAAGGTTCCCTGAGGCCACACAGCTGTGCTGAGACCAGGGCTACCTCTCTAGCAATCGGGACAGGGAAAACAACAACCCCTCCCAGCACTCCACCCCTCTCTCAGAGGTAACTGGTGGCAGCTGCTGTAAATCTTTAGAAGAAGGGGTGGTTCCTAGAGCTGTGCTGCATGGCTGCTCTAAGGAGATAGCAGTGGAGATGCTTCTTTGATAGCTGGTTTTCTGGCCAGAAAAAGGCAAAGAGAAGGCTAGTCTTATCTCCTGTGTTGTGGCAGGCCTAGAAGGTATGGTTTCTTGGTGTTATTTATTGAAGAATAAGGTTGCAAAATGGTGCAAGATAGGCAACAGGCCCCTCCTTCACAGAATGAAGACTGTTCCTAAAAGCTGATTTCCATACTTTCATGCTTTCTACCTCATACTCGAGAAACATCATGCCTTAGTCTGGCACAGAGGAGATGTTGATAGACCCCTTCAGTCCTCCTGACTGAAACAGATAGGAGGACTCATGGTTTGAAACACTAAGTGTTTATAAACGCTAAGTGTTTATAAGGTTTCTTCCTTTTTTTTTGTAGCTGAGCTCAAAAAAACAAAGGGCAAGTGAAAACTGGGATAGGAAAACAGGCTGCCCTGACCTTCACAGGAGTCTTCGTGTCGTTAACGATTTCATTGAGCAGCGTCCCGTTAGGTGCATATGGAGAGAGAGGAGTGCCAGGGGAGCCTGCAGGGGGGTTAAAGGAAAAGTCAGGCAAGAGCAAGTTTTCACATCAAAAATCTTCCCTTTTCTGTGTTGGTCAGGTGTCAGCACACTGGAGCAGCTTTCCTTAAGGAGGGTATGTTTGAGCACAAGGCTGTGCCACTGGAAGGTGGCCATGACTTATGGCGTGGGGAAAGCTGCGATGTTTTATACAATAGACAGACTTTCTTCCAGGTCAAACATCAGTAGCATTGAATGTGTGTGACTGAAGGCAAAAGTCAACTTGGAATGCTACGTTTGAGTAGCAGGCATGCTGTAAAGAGATAAAAAGTTGTTTCATAAAGATTATTTTGCTAAAAACATTTTCACTGTACTCCAGTGAACTTGTCCTGCTTCTACTGCATTCATTAAATAAGTATTTTATTTATAAGTATTTATAAGCATTTTAAGACCTAAGAATCACTGGCCTTAGCAATTCTATGTAATGGACAGACATACAAAAAGCAGACTTGATTTTACCTGTAGAAATGGAAGGAATTTCTTCCACCTTTTTGCCTCCTATTTTCTCTGCGGATATTTCATCTTTCCTATCGATCAAATAGAAATGAATGATTTAATTATCTCCATACTGTACTGGCAATGAAAAAAGTGTAAAAAAAATAGAAATATAAAAATGTGGCTTAAATGAGTGAAGTTATTTCTAATGGAATATTTTATAAGCTGTTAAACAGGCAGAGGAATAGTAGATCATACTTTTTATTTGACAGCTTATGTATTTTCTATCCTCTTCTTTAGTGTAATATTTGCTCTTAAAAAAATACTGATTTGATATATTCCTCCACCAAGGACTATTAGTCCTGTTAGGAATCTGCTCATGAGATTTCATGACTGATTTTATCCCTGCAACCAGAGTTATGGGATTACAGAGATTAAATCAGTGCATAGGGTCTGGTTTTGCTTCCCTTTGAGGTTAAGGAATGGTAGACCACAGTCTAAAAATGGATGCAAGACTTCTTGTGCATCATCTAAACTAACTTTTATCTCCTTTGCTGTATCTCATCCTGTCAATATAGTTCAGTAAGAGCTTTGGGCATCTTCTAATTTTAGGATCAGTGGACATTTCATGGTACCGAGTTTCATATGATATGGTGTGAGGAGAGGATGGATGTACTTATTTTTCAGTTGTTGGCCTACATTATAATATCATAAGGATGCTTCCAAATAATGATGGTTTCAAGTCAGGTTCCTGGATCCAGATTACTATGAGATGTAGGAATGTTTATTTTTGCATCTGGATGTAGTATTCATGGGCTAATGCCTGCCATGGTCCCCAAGAAAGAATATGGTGGTTATGATGTAAGGTTGTCTGCCTTGTATCACAGGATTTGGGTTTGTATTAGTGATATTATTTTCTGCTGTAAGTTTTACAGTGATGAGTTGATGAATACCTTTTGCAATTGCAGCTGCTGGCTTGCCTAAAAGCAGAAGTAGTATGTATATCTAAGTACATTTTATAATAGATGTATTAGATATTTCTGCAGTTAAGGCTATAGAATAATTTCTACCCTAAAACCAAATTTTTATTCATTCAGCTTTTGGAAAAATTTAGACTTTTAGGTAAGAATGTTCTTAGGGACATTTTGAGATTTTTCTTTCCTGAAATTGGGGTGTGAAGAATTACAATTGTTTTGGGTTCTAAGTAGGGTGTGGAAAAAAACCCACAGCAGAAAATAAAAAAACCCAGTCTTTGAAATAAATGAGAATAGAATTCCTCAAAATGTTTACAGTGCACACAGATGGAATATTTGTGAAAAATGGTATGAGTGAAAGAAGAAGGGCATTGTAAATGTGTGGTGTGGTGTTGACTGAGATAGCGTAAAGCCTGTAGTGTAGACAGAAAAGATGTATGAAATACATTTCTATACGGGACCAACTGAGATGTTTAATAACATAAATAAAGAACATGAACAACAACTGATTTACCACATTCTCTGCATATCTTGTGCAGTGAGAATGAAAGTACTATTTATAATGTTTTCACAGTGTTAACTAATTATGTGTTGTGTTTTAACTGGAGACCGATCTCTCTACATGGCATCTACAGAAGATACAAAATGTTTCCCAAACCATACAATAGTAAAGATGAAGACCAGCCATGCATAATCATGACTGGCTGTATTTCCAGCTAAAGTACAAGTAATTTCATAGAATTTACTTCATCTTCTGAATTGTGCCTAGGGAAAACCACACCGTTGACAAAGAAATTAAGATTAGTCACTTCACTTAATGCCTTGCTGCTGCTGTTTGCACTAGACTGAATGAAAAGACCTCCCTTTGGCCTTCCAGAGGCGTTTAATTAAGGCCTACATTATTAAAAATACATTTCTGAGAGAAGCACTCAAATCTCATCATGTTGGAATGAAAAAACGATACCTAAGATCTCTGTGATCATGAAACAATGTAATTTATGAATGTGAAAGATTATTTGCCTGAAAATGTCCTGAAAATCAAAAATACTTGAAGGAAAAAACAGTACATTATTCAGAGGAGTTGTGGACAATGATTTGTCTGGGCGTCCTACAGTATTTATATGCAGAGAGATGAGTTAAGTGTTGTAACTTTAATCCTGCCATTCTCAGACTTCTGAGTGTTACCAGGAGCATATTTTTTTCGAAGAGTTTGTAGAATAAAGTGTCACATTAGTTGACACTGTCATGATGTGTAAAAATGCAGGAGAAGGCTAAAGTGAAGGCATAGAGGTTTTCATATTATTGCTTAATGAAACCTCTCAGATAAACCTTTGTTAAGCTCTTGGACTTTCCTATATGAGAAACTATATAGCAACTTTTGTCACACTTCCAGTCAACACTGGTCTAATGCAAAGCCATATCTCTGACAGGGTTTCATGCTCACATTAGTCTGAGAAAACATTCTGTGGTGTCTCAAAGTGAACAGGTAACTCAGACATTTGGCCACCTCCATTATTTGTGATTCAGTTGCTGTGTACTATGATACATACAGTACACACCTCTCTCACAGCACACACCAAATATGCTACAGTGCTATCTGTATATCTGTTCACATCCACACTCATCTACACGTATCTTTCTCAAAAAAGGCAGTAACATCAAGTGGCAAGGTTCTACTTGTGCTACTTACCTTTCCTGGAAGGTTCTATGTTTTACTCGCTGCAAAAAGATTAAGAAAAACAACATTTTACTAGTGGGTGTATCCAACCAGATAGACCAGAAACCTGTTAGTCTTTTTTTTTTTTACTATACTTTTCTATTTTCCTTCTAAGGTATGCCCCCACCTCCTCCTGAGCAATACTTTCTTTGCCCTTGAATAAGCAGATGGGGAGGGACTTGGAAGTCTCTCCCAGTTTCTAAACAAGTGTCAGTAATCCTTACCCGTTGGATTATTTCCAGATGCTCTTGGGAATTACTGAAGTTTTTGCCAATGTCGAATATGCAAAAGGTTTCCCTCTGGCAGGCAGTAACCCAGTTCTGATATTCAGAAGTATCAGGAATCCGATCCAGAAAAATACGAAAGGCTTCCCACACAGCTTCCTGGCAGACTGAGTAAGAAGAAAAGGGCTGGAGATGGATGTTGTCTACCAAAAAGTAAACTTGAAAGCCTTTTAAAAGTGGTTTGGTATATACACATTCATCATTCGAAATGAAGGAACACACTTTGAAATGTTGGTTAAAATTAAATGCTTTTAGAGAGATGAATTTTCAAACTTATTAGAAAAACCATTTTAAGAGAAACTTGCAATTTAAAAGCTGTTGCCCGTAGCACTTTACTTTGGAAAGCTCATTACTGTGAGATGGGTCATTTTTTTTCAGTACTTGGTACCTACTTGTACTTAGAGTGAGTTCATTATCTGCATTATCAGTGTCTCTGAAATTAGTGCAGTCAGTTTCTCTAGGTATACTCTAAACTTGCTGTAGGGATATACTCACCCAACTGTGTTAGGGCCCCTCAATAATACCTCAGGAGCAACTTGCCCTCCCAGTAGAGCAGCTGCATGTGGAGCAGATGTGGTCAGACTATTAAAAAGGAACAGGCTGTCTTTTGAGGAGATATATTCGTTATGAGCTAGCAGTTAAAGCTACTTTTCTACCCTCTTTTTCTCGCAACTCTCTAGTACCTGTTTTTCTGAGCGGCAACTGCTGAATAAAGATACACTATCTGATGATAAGTAATCCAGTTACCAGATAAACGTGACACGTGACCAGCTGAGGAGGTAGTGTAGATGATTCCGTGCTTTCACCCAGTTTGCCCCACATCAGAGACTGTCCTCATCGTGACTTATGCTATAGTGTGTTATTTCAGAGTTTGTGTAGGGTCACAGTAGGCTCAGGTTATCCAATAGAAACTGTCTGAGCTCCTATATCTGAGCTCTTTTGTGTCTTGTGCTCATTCCTGGAGGCATATTTGTGTGTGTTAAAAAAAATAATTGTGTCATTTTTCTTAGAAAGCAGAAACATTCTCTAGAGGACTGAAATGATCCACAGTGCTATTGCAGTTCTAATTGTATCATGGGACTTGGAGGGTTAGAAGTGATCTCCTAGACTTTAGACAGAGAAAACAACAGACCTGAAGGTATATGTACAAAACAAAATAAAGGTAAGATTGTGCCCCAGATAGGCACAGGCTGTAAGGCTCCAGCATGGATACCAGGTTACCTTTCCATGAAGGCTTGTGCTGTGGTTACAGATTCAGGGATTGTGATCTTTCCTTGCAGGAAATATTTTCTGAGGTTTTAATGAAGGATACTGTAATGCAAAATGTGCAGTTATTCAAGGGAGTAGAAACTGCTTTTTCTGACTGAATGTACAAATTATTCTGCTGCAGTCATCTCTTTGATTGCTTGCTTTTTGGGGAAGTACTCAAGTTTCAGTTGAAGAACTGGATGACGCCTGTTCAGAGAATTTTGTGAGTGTAGGGCGCTACTGAGGAAAAGGAGTTGTAAGTTTAAACCTGCTTGCACTACAAGACTCATAAAGTCCAGCTGATATGCTGCTCTCCAAAAAGTTGGTAGTATTGTCATATTCAGTTTTTTTAAAAGAAAGGGTCATACTTATGGTTCTTTGAGTTCAACTAATGATACCAGCCTATTTCAGGACTGCTTGTTTTCAGCCCCATCTGGGATGTAACCAGTGAGTTTCAGGGGCTTTCAGGATTAATTTGAATTTAAGAAATGTTTCTTGGATCAACCTCTTTAAAGTATTTCAGATTTCTGTCTAGTGCCCATTGGATACTACAATGGAGACCAAATACTTCTGTATCTATAGCAATAGCTACAGACATTGGTGTAATTTTCCCATGTTGCCTGTAGCAAGTGGCTGCTGGAGTAAAAGTTTTGCAGCTCTGCATCCAGGTTTCATTTCAGAGGGAGCTATCTGAAAGAGAGCCGAGGAGCAGCCATGTTCCATCGATGTATGTGGGTGTTTGGAGACCAATATAGAGGAAAACCAGATAAGCAGAGGTGATTTAGAGGGTAGATGTTGCCTTGGATACTTGCATTCCAGAAATGCTGACTACATTTTAGAATTAGCTTTGGACTATCTAGCTGCAGTGCAAAAATATGCGTTTTTCTAATACAAATTTTAACAGTCACTGAGTGAAAGACTGGGAGGGATAGAGGGAGGAAGAGAGAAAATAAGAAACCCAGGAGCCTATCTGCACTGTGCTCTCTAGGGACCTAGAATTGGAGTGGTAACTCTGTAGGCTCTCTATGGGCAAGGGGAGTAAAAAAGGGCTGGGGAGAGAGCAAATTAGATGAGAAAGAGCAGAAGAAATATTTGAGACATTTTGAAAAGAAGACTAAGTTCTCTTCATGACCTGATGACAATTATCTCAGTGTTTGTTGTATACTAACACTTCTACAGCCTTACTGTAACTACAGATACACCAGCATATTTGTGCAATGACCAATTGATACTTTCATTATTTGTCTTAAACTGGTGGGATTAATTCTGAGTTGAAATGATGGTACCTGCTGCACTTATGAGAAAGGTGGTACATCTTTATATGGTAATGCAAGCACAATTTGGTCTTCATGTTCAGCCGTGCTAGAACACCATGCAATTACTCCAAGTTCATTAGTCCTTTGAGTGCATTTTTTTATTTTCTTCTGGTACCTGTCTGTATTGAACCCTTCTGATGCACATGTAACATTATCTATATTATGCTTATCTATGTAAAAATAAACCATACAGCAAATAGCACATACACTACCTAAAGGTGAAGAACAAGATTCTGGAAAATTACTGTGTTTCCTCAGTTAAAAGAAAGATTTTGCAGGAGGAAGTACATGCTACAATAATCATCTTACCTCTTAATCTATAGTAAGCTTGGTGACTGGCTAAAATCTGCTTCATGGATTCTTGTGGGCAAACTTTCACACCGGTTGAGAAAAAGGATGACCTCTTTGTTCGGTGTTTTGCCATGTCAAATATCCGCCTTATGGTTGATACTCTGGACCTCTTTGTTGTTCTTTCTGTTTTGTCTGACCCTGAGGCATCTGCAAGATGTTTGGCTTCAGCATGGTTTATTTTATTAGGAATTTCTGGAAAAGATAAAAATATATCATGTACATAAACATAGTTTGCATAGGTAGTAGGTATCCAAGGCAAGTTCATGTCTGGAGAATGGGAATGAACTCGAGAGTCCCTTTTGTTACATTATAGTGGTGTCAATGCCCTGACCAAATTAGTGTGCTGAGGTGAAGCATCCTGTGATCACATGGGGGAACTGGGGCTCGAGAGACCTGGCAACTAATTTCCTTATATCTCAACACGTGACCCCAGGACACGTAGGGTAAAAGTGTCAGAAGCCCTAAATCCTGTTTTCAAAAGCGACTTTAGATTAGATCCACAAAGGACACTTAAGTGCTTGAACTTTACACTACAACATCTCGTTTGTGAGCATATTGACCTGTGGAGAACTTTACAGTGCAATGATAAGTAATGGTCTGGAGCTTGGGGAAAGTAAAGAATATCTGTATCAGTCCACAGTGTAAGTAGGTGTCTACACTACCAGAGAAGTTAAATGAGAAATTTTTGTACCTTAAATCTCCAGCCTTTAAGATATTTTTACTGTTCCTTTGGGCTTCAAGGCACATATCCCTTCACATCAGGTTCATAGTCTTGCACCTATCCCAAGAACTAGACCCCGAAGCTTTCAAAAGTTGAACAGGAGTTTTATTGCCCGTGGGGAAAGAAGGAGGTGTTTCCACTCTCCCTCTTTTACTCCACAGTGCACTCCTCTATCCTTCCCTCACATAAACTGAAGTATTAGCTAGAACAGACTACAATTGTTTCTTTACAACTGGTTTATAGGTGTTGTGAAAGCTCTGGCATTGTATTTCAATAGATCTTCAACAATTCCTGGCAAAGTGGAACAACTACAGTTTAAAAAAGCGAAATTAGTGAGTGGGAATTGAAGATCTAGGATTAAATTTTACTTATGGAACTGTTCAGCTATTAAAAATGGAAATGCCTCAAGGGTGTCCCAGTGGACAAGCACAGGAACTCCCATCACAACAGACATGCAAAATTCACGACTAATTTAGTTCCACTTCCTAAGTATTTGTGATTCAGTATTACATGACATAGCAGCTAAATTTAATGTAAAATGTTGGTGATTAAAAATAGCATATATATTACACATTTAAATGAGCTGAAATACAGCATTTTGCAGGATCATGTGACGAGAGCAGTTAGTACCTTTTAGACTGTCTTCCAAAATTTTGTATACATATTAATAAAGATGTTAAAATTAATCTGGAAATACCTTTTTTGGTTGCCTTTTAATAAACTTGACGCAGCGATTACAGATAAAAATTAAAGAGAAATGTAATCAGAATAAAAGAAATTGTCAAAGAATTGGGAAACTTTAAGCAAAGAATATATGTTCCTGAATTCTGATGAATCAAATGAAAAATATACTTTGAACAATGGCTTAAAAACTTGTAACAGAAGAATAAAAGGAAATAATCATGTTAAAAAAATAAATTCAGTAAAAGCAGCACTATCAAAAAAAATGTAAGATTAGGAGTTTGCTGGAGAAAGAAGAAATGTCATGCTGCATATAACAAACACTAATTATCATGTTCTTAGGGAAACCAAGACAAAATAAGGAAGGTTAAAACCACATTATCTTGACAATTCGGAACCGTGTTAATTAAATGCTAAAAGTAGGCAGATAAATAATAAAGAAAAAATACTTGAAAAGCATACTGTTACAGAAAGAACAGTACTTGAAATAAAGCATAGGGAAAGTTTCACCGTGTATGTCAGTGTACATGTATGTGTATCTATTTGTCTCAGTTCTTATTTAACTTCAAAATGAACATCCAATGTTTACAGTGTAGAAATAATGGTGACATCTGTATTTTGAGATAGGTGCTATTCTGATACAGTAAAAAGTCTACTGGTTGATTATGATGAATATTGTCTGAAAGAAAGGAAGTTATAAAATAAGGGCAACAGGTTATCATTATGCTGTGTAATGCATGCCAGAGGCAGCAGTCTGTAGATCTATAACTGCCTCATTGTTGCAAGGTAATTTAAAATAATGATGCAGTCATATAATGTTTGACATTCAATGAAATGGAAGTACCTTTTCCACATTAATGTTCTGATCATGAACCCATAAACTGCATAAAAGCTGTGAAAACGCATCGCTAAGTTCATCAGAAACCACAAGTGGCCAAACACTCCATCAGCTGAGACAATGAGTTATTTGAACGATATATGGGATGAGAGAATGCCATTGATTTTTCAAGGCAGACCCCTGAAACACCCTAGAAGAAAAAACCAAAAATCCACATGGAAGGTAGCCAGTTGTAGGTCCTTTCACAAGGTACACCTTTTACAATGTATATTAACTGCAACAGACCAGCTGCCCAGGCAGTCTGACCAACTGGGGCAGAGGATTTTGTCACTAAGCTCTTTGATAGCTTTTGTATGAAGCAGAGGCCTTTCTTGAAGGATTTACTTCTTCTCCAGGATTTACCCCTAAGTCATTAACTTGAATTAAGAACTATACAGTTTGTAAGACTGACAAGGAGATTCTTCTCAAATGATTGTTGTAATGATTTCAAACTCTTCAGGTTAGAGTCCCTTTTTGGGTTTTTCAGTCTGAGAAAATGACCTGACTTCTTCTGCTTCGATTAGAGCTGTTCTGCCAGCCTATTTTGGGTGGATTTAAATTCTTTCTCTTTTCACTGCTTTTTTTTGAGGGATCTGTTTCTAAAGTATCTCTATTGTAATGGGTTTAATTTAATTTATACCTTCTTGTTAGTAAATTTCCAGTGCTAGAATAACTCTTATTATCATAACTCCTTGAAATCACTTTTTTACTAAACTTAAGCAAAATTTCGATTGGAGAAAACATCAGCCCTTCTCTCCATATGATTGCCCAAAATTAATTTCCTAATATTTACTGATTGTGAATGGGAGAAAACCTGCCTTCTGCTAAAAACATTTGCTCATAATTCTTCAGACTTGTGTTTTCCCCTGGTTTCTGGAAATTCTGAGCTGAGAAATTTTTACCTACAACTCCCAGGTGGTTCAGCCACATACTTTACATATTTCTCCATCTATGACTTTCTAGAGGCTTTGCTTTCATCACCCTGGATTGGAAAAAAATTAATCAAAAAAGACACATACTATTATGAAATTGAATCCGTACATATTAGGTGATCTCTTTCCTTTTTACCATGCAACATGCTAATCGAATAAACTGGAGAGGTGCAATTTTACAGGGTACATCATTTGATCATGTGTGATCAAAAATCCCAATAATACTAGGCTGGTATGCTCTTCTTAAAATAAGTAATCTTTCTAAATTTTTTTGTCCTCACTCTATTTTCTGAAATAAACATATGTAATTAAAATATTCAGAGTTTACCTTAAATAAAACCTGTCCAATTTGACTTTTTCTTGTTTAACTCTGTTGTTTAACTCAGTTTTACCTTTAAAAGTTAAACTTAAGATTTTGAGTTTCCTTTGATAGTTTTAGGGCAGAAGGGCAGACAACTCTAGAAGTCTGCTAAGAAGTCTACTAGTTTAGTGTACTTCAGCTTATTCCCCAAGATGTCTTAAACAAACCTGTAATTCTCCTCCTTTATTCTCACATGAAAGAACCTACACCATTGTCCTCATTTTGCAGGTGACATACTTGAGGAAAAATATTGAGGTAGTTTTATCTACATAGTCTCTGTCAGCTCTTATTAAAATCTGGAGTTCCTGACCTCCAGTTCTGAACTTAGACAAATATAACAAAATTTTTTCAAAATACCATAAAGCAATTTTCAAAACATGATACAGCAATCTAATTCATATGGGATCTAATCAAATTGCTTTGATATCTGTACTGATCTCTCAAGTGCATAGTACTGTTCTTCAGGTTTTGTTTTCAGGCAGATAAATAGTATTCATTTCACAAAAAGAAAATCTGAAATCCTTGGAATTAGGCCAGGCCTCTCCTCTGTGTCTCTTGAGACCTGTGTTATCAAATTTATACCCTAACTAAAATAACAAGGCAGGAATAATATTTTTCAAAGGTGAGAATTCTTATGTGTTTTTAATAATCTGCATAATGGAAAAGGAGAAGCATCGTTATTGAACTGGATTCTAGTGAAAGAGTTTAAAGCCATTTGGATAACTGGTCATCACTGGGGTTTTTTGTTGTTTGTTTGTTTTAAATTTGCTTTTATAAACACAGGAGCAAGAAGCTCATATTCGTACCTTTTTGTATAAGTGTAGTGGATGTTCCTCTCTACAACTTTATTAATTTCTCTCTGTTAATAGTATCAGTTTCGGGAGTCCTTCAATTTTGGTGTTGGTAGTTGGAGTTTTTTTCAACAATGTAGACAATCTCTGTGTAGGAACGTTTGTCTACAGCATGATCTTTGCAGTAAACTTCTAGTTTGCCCTGAGGAAATTTAGATGTTATCATATACAAAGAGAAGAATTTAAGATATGATAACTAAAGATTTGGCAGCAAAATTCAGGGTGACAAAAGTCTGAGTAACCCATCATTAAATCATTGCAAGGTTTGAAATGTGTGAAGAAGCAGATGAGTCTGAAAAATAAGTGAATGGTCTTAGGATAGAGAGGAATGCTTGACTGATAAATGAGATCTATTGCCTGCAAAATAAAATAATTGTTAATTAAAAGTTAAAGCTTATTTAAGGGAACTGATGAAATATGATGAGGAAAGCTTATCAAGTTTAATTCAGCAAAGATCCTGTAAATGTGTTGCTGCTAAATATATAGTGGGGCCAACAGTACCATGATGATATCTGAGCCAGAAACCAAAGCACGGCTGACTAGCCACGGAAAGTTGATCTTGAGATTTCTTAAAGGGCTGATCAATGTAAACACCAGATGAAGCATAGAAAGTACAAAGAGAGGTAATATCCTGGACTCTTTCTCCTTACAGTAGTCTCCTCCTGTCATGACAATAGTGAAGATACCACATTCTAGTGGCACTTGCCAGTGACAGACAGGGTGCCCATGACATGTTCTCTCCTTATATTAAAATATGACGTGGCCTTAT